AGTAGGCACATATACACATGCAAGTGTGTGTGTGTGTGAAGGCGTGTGAAGGTGTGTGTGTGTATGTGTGAAGGCGTGTGAAGGTGTGTGAAGGTGTGTAATGCGTACTCTTTTGGGTGTTTTGCGAGTGCGCGGACGCTCTTCTTGTGGTTTGTGAGCTGCGCCATGCAGCGGCCAGCACGAATGTCCCACAGCCGAATCGTCGAATCGTGTGACCCTGGCACAGCGGTGGGGTGCAGTGTTTGTATGATGGAAAGGGGGGGGGGCACGGGTGAGCACGTGACAAGATCAACACGCGAGAGCCCCCACACGGGCACCAACATCATGCTGTGTCATCTTCACCACCACCATCACCATCACCATCACCACGATGGCTGCACCTGAGATGACTTGCGGGTCGACGGGCTCTGTCTCAAGGGAGGCGACCGTGTTGGTGTGCCCGGACAGGCAGTGGATCTGCGCCTTTGTTCGCATATCCCACAACTGCACACACACGCACGCACACACACACACACACACGCACGCACACACATAACACGGGTGACAAACAGGGGGAGGAGGGGAAATTGCATGGTGTCAGTGGCGAGCACAGCCATGGGTGGGCGCGTGAGCGAGAGAAAATGTTGTAGTGACGCTGATACACAAAACGACAAGAGCAAGTAGCGGAAGAAAGGAGAACAAGATGACGACGAGAAGATAATGGATGAAGATGCTTCTAAAGGAGATGTGGTGTTTGCACACGATTACAAAGGCTTGGTGTGCTGGCCCAAACCAACACCTGTACTGTGCATCATTGGTGTTGCCATGGTCAACATCACCACCACGTCCACCATGATGGCGAGTGTTGTGGTGGTCGGGAGGAGTGTGCCGCGAGGGCAAGTGGGAGAGGAGTGATCATGACACAACAGCACCAGCGAGCGACAAAACCGCCCCTGATGTGCATGTGTTCGCACTCTCAAACCAGCTCATGCATACGATGAGCAGCCACAAATCCAAACAAGCACACGCAGAGACAACAACAACAACATTGCACAAACGCTCCTCCTGACAACATGGCGTAAGCAGACAGAAAGAAAGAGAAGGAAAGAAAGAAAGAAAGAAAGAGGGAGAGTGTGTGTGTGTGTGCGTGTATGTGCGCGTGTGTGCGTGTGTTGCGGACTACACACCCGCACTGTTGAGTCGCGACCGCCTGTGAAGAGGACGTCCAGCGTTGGATGCAATTTCAGCGCATACACGCCGCTACAAAAACGCATATGCGCACGTGCACGTGCACAAGTGAGTGGGCAATCTGTGCACCGTTGTGGACATCTCCTTTCCTTTCCCTTCTTCCTCCTCCACCTTCGCATTCTATTCTTTCACCTTCCTCGATAGCCCCCCCCCCGGCTCTTTCCACGCTCAGTATCACACCTGAGGTGTCCGTGGTAGTGGCGAATGACCTTGTTCTGCTCCAGGTCCCAGCACCGCACCATCTTGTCTTCGCCAACGGAGAACAGGTACGGGTGACGCGGGCTGACCTCAAGACCGCGGACTGTGCTAATGTGGCCCGTCAGCGTCAGCTTCAGGGTCCCCGATGCAAGGTCCCAGATCTTGATGGTGCGGTCAGCAGACCCTGAGGTGTGTGTACGTGTGTGTTTATGTGTGCATGTGTTGTGTGTGTGTGATTATCATGTGAGATTGAGCAGGGTGATGGATTGGTGATGGAGAACGAGGCGACATGAGAGGAGCGGAGAGAGTGGAAATGATCCGAGGGTGGAACACAGCGCAAGTACACGCACGCACACACACACACACACACACACACACACACACACACACACACACACACACACACACACACACAGTACGCATTCAAACCACACGCAGACAACATGTGCGCACCTGAGACAAACCACTGGTTCTTTGGCTCGACGGCCAAGCAGCGAACCCAGCCGGTGTGACCGCTGATGACACGGAAGAGCTTCCAGTGCGGATGCCACTGGGGCTTTGGCATTGTCGGCGCCCTTTGTCTCAGCACAAGCTCCTTTGTCATGGGCTGCTTCTTCTGTGTCTGCAATAGCAATAGCAAGTGCAGAAAACACAACGAAAGACCGCGACAAGCGTCAGCAAACAAACACGGTGTACAGGCGCAGCGTGAAGTGCAGCACGCAAGCACCACGACCAAACAAGCGACTGCTGTAAGCCGTGCCAGTAAATGAGGTGGGTGCGCAACTGACATCAGACACGAGGGCGAGTGCCGAGCTGGGTTCCTTGCCCGTCTTCTTGCTGCATGGTGGATGGGACGGCAGAGGAGTGAAAGTTAGAAAATGCGCGTGTGCGTGTGTGCGTGTGTGTGTATGTGTGTGTATGTGTGTATGTGTGTCTGTTTGGAGGAGCTGTTGGACAGATGCAGACAGTTGGCAGCTGGATATTGTCGTTGGTGTTCATGCATTCGCACACAAGAGCAGTGACGCACCCTTCAAGAACATCTGTAGGTTTGATGGAGGGTCTTGCAGGGCCCGGGCCAGATGCTGCACCCTTTGCTTTCTTCTTCAAGGCCGCTGGTGGTGGCAGGTGCATCACCGATGCGTACTCATCCATCTTCTTGCATGCCAGCTTGGCCGGACGGCTATGACAACAACGCACATGTCACACAACAGCAACGTCAGTGCTGACAACGCTGGCCAAACAAAAACACAAACAGCCACAGGGACACTGGCGTGCGTGCAGAATTGTACTCCCACCAACGTGCATGCAGAATGAAACTCCCACTCACGTGCACGGCACACACACACACATACATACATACACACACACACGCACACGCACACACACACGCACACGCACACGCACACGCACATAGATACATACGCACAGACACAGACACAGACACAGACACAGACACAGACACAGACACAGACACAGACACAGACACAAAACACATATCAGCAGCACCTGAGGTCGCCGTCTGACGGCCGCTTTGCGTAGTCTGACACAAACATGTCCTTTGTGCGCTTGATGGACCTGAACGTGTGCTGGTCCATGCTCGTTCCCCCCTCCATGATCGTCGATGCCAGTGGGATGAGGCAGGTGGTGCTCGTTGGTGGTTGTGGTTGTGGTGCAGAAGAAGATCGTTCGCGGAAATTTATGCAAATCATTCAACACAATTCACCAGAGGCAGGGCAAGCGGGAAGATGAAGGAGCCACTCACACTCACTCACTCTCTCTCTCAGTCACACACACACACTCACACACACACACTCACACACACTCTCTCTCTCACAATCACTCACTCACTCACTCACTCACAAACACGCGCGCACACACACACAAACACACACACACACACACGATGCACACAATGAAGGTCAGGCATCGGAAGGCTGCTCTGTGAAGCTGATGTAGGTGCGCGTGCTTGCAGCACGACCAGAGGACGTGGTTGTGCACGACCACGTGGAGGGACGAGCAGCCAATGTTGGCAAGCCACGGCTGCGCAGAATTTGCTCCAGTGCGTCAGCCACAGACGCGCGTGTGCTGGCGTCAGCCCCGTCTTCGACCTTGCTCTTGCTCTTGCGTTGTGTTGCCTCGCTATTGCGCTCATCATGCGTCGCACCACGACCCACGCCATCGCCGCTGTTGATGTGGCAGCAGGAAGAATACAGTTCAGTTTCACGGAGCATGTCGGCGAGCTGTGCTTCGGATGGAGGCGGCGGCAGCGGTGGACTGGCATCCAAGAAAGAAGCACTCGCACCACCTCCTTTCTGCGGTGTCGCAACGTGCTGCTGCTGGTTGCTGTGGTCCTGGTTCTCTCGCTCACAGTCGCTTGTCTTGTCGTCGGCAGCATCTGTCGCTGAATAGGCAAGCTGCTCCTCCCAGTGTTGTGCTGCAGGGCGCGCGTGCGTTCGTCGTGGCGGCGTCGGTGGCGGTGGCGGTGGTGGTCGCCGCTGCCTCCTGTGTCGTGGGGCAGTCGCGGGTGGTGGGGATGCTGCCACGCTGTTGACTGGACCCGGCTGGTGTTGCTGTAAGCCGCCGTGCTTGCGAGAGCGGTGCAGTTGGTCATACACCGGAACCAGGCCACTGTCGATAGCCGTCGTGACGAGCGACACCTCTGCCGCTGCTGCGTGGCGTCGTGGTGGCCGCGGCTTTGGCGCCGGGGCCTTGTGCCGGAAGTGCTGCACGGCCTCGTCTGTAAACGGCGCCTCCGCTTCTGCCGGCAGAAACACGACAGAGGTCACACCGCGATAGTCGCTCGCGCGCGCCGCCCTGCTGTCCTCTGGATGCGGCGCAGAGATTGCCCTTGGCCGCTTGTCTTGCTCATGCCGTCCCGTCAGGGTGGAAGCACGAAGAGAGCATGGAACCGTCGCGGGAGCTGACGTGTGATGTGCTGTTCGGGGCAATGCACGTCGCAGTTCAAAGTCCTCCTCCCCACAATCACGATCATGCTCACCATCATCATGACCACCTTCATCACCATCATTAGCGCGCTCGCCATCACCAAACTTGCCTTTCTCTTTGCTTTCTTCACGGACATCTTCATCACCGGCACCGTTCCAGATACCGTGAGGCCGTGTCGGTGGTGTTTCCACAAGACAGCGCGGGTCTACAGCAGCAGCATCGTCATCACGCTCTCTTGTGCCACACGTTGCATCAGCAGAGTGCTGGCGCACAAACACGCGATGTGGTTCCTGTCTGCCGTGCATGTGTTGGTCAAGTTGTTGCTGGTGGTATGGGTGACAATGCAATGCAGTGGTGTCTGGCAGCTTCTTGCGCAGGGTGCAGTTGAGCCTGTTAGTGCTTTGAGCATAGTGGCTAACGTCAGTCACATCATCCTCGCTGCTGCTGCTGCTGCTGGCGGTGGTGCTGTCATCGTGGCTGGGCGCGTCATGGGTTGACGGCAGCCGAATCGGACACACCATGTACGGGGAGGGGCCCGCACTCGGTGTCGAGTTACTTGACGGCGTGGAGACCGCCAGCCGCGAGTATGGCGCGCTGCTGTAGATTGAACCACGAATGGAGCCGTCGTCATAGTGGTCATCGCCATCGTCATCATGTCTGTGTCCGCCTACACCCCATCCATCGCGCGGCATGCTGTACGGGGAAGCAGTGTTGTCACTGCCCGTGTTGGTGTTGCTGTTGCTGCGGTTGTACCTTGAGGAGGGGTTTAGCACAGCAGCAGTAAATGACTGCTGCTGCTGCTGTTCTTGCTGCATGCCGTGCGCGTCTGACAAGTCGAGCACGAGCGGTGGCGGTGGGCGGTCTTGGTAGGCTGCGATGTTGATGTCTTCGTCTCGCTCATACACCGCCACGCGGGCAATCCGAATGCTCGGCTTTGTGCCCACATCCTCGCCTGGGAACGCATGTGTGGCCACACCGCCATGATCGCCGCCACCAACTCCACTGCTGTACTTATCTTTGGCTGCAGGGCTGTCGGTCTCAGCATCATCATCATCGCCATCATCATAACCATCACCGCCATCATCATCATCATCATCATCATCATCATCATCATCACCATCATCATCATCATCACCATCATCATCATCGGCGTCTGCACGGTCATCCTCCCACCTTTCATGCTCTGCCCTGGGGCGGTGGTACTGCTCCTGATGCTGTTGTGGAATGGCGTTGAGCTGCACCAGTAGATCGTGTGACGAGTACGGGTTACACCGGCCAAGCGTCGGAGGCGCCGGCAGCCCCAATGACGGCCGTGGTGGTGGCTGACCGTGCTCTGGCTGATGCTGACGCTGGCCTTGATCCTGGTGTTGTCGGTGGGGAGGTGGTGATGATGATGCCGTTGGTGATGAAGCGTGCTGCGCTGGCCGCATTGTGGATTTGGGTGATGTGCGTCTGCGAGTGTACCCTGGAAGTAGGGTGGCTTTGAGTGCAGCGAGCGGTGATCGGTGGGTGCGCGTGTGTCTCGTCACTTGCTCAGGCGTTGCTACTTGTTCATGTTGCTGCTGTTGCTGCTGTTGCTGCTGTTGCTGCTGTTGCTGCCGTTGTGCTATGACCGGCTCCAGGTACAGGGGCTCCGCCGTGCTGGCGTTTGTATCGCCACCTGTGCCCTGCCACCCGTCCTGCTGACATCTGCCATCGCCTGTCGATGCCGTGCTGGTGTTGGTGTCATCGTTGCCAATGTCGGTACCGCACCCAAAGTCCAGCGGCCCACCCTGTGCCCGGCACGCCTCTAGCCAGCACTCAAACGCGCCTGTGCACGCCTTGTCGCGCAACACAAAGTGCCATCGCCCACTGTCTGGGTAGCACACGCGAGCCACGTCAATGGAGAGCGTGCATCCTTTGCACATGTACGTGCGAATGTGCTTTCCCAGGATGCGTGTGCTGCGGTCGGTGGATATGACTGCCGCAAAGTCGCGCTCCAGCACCAGCTTCCCGCCGCCCTTGACACGGCCTCCAATCTCACGCGCAAACGGCAACACTTCCACTGTGTGTGTGTGTGTGTGTGTGTGTGTGTGTGTGTGTGTGTGTGTGTGTGTGTGTGTGTGTGTGTGTGTGTGTGTGAGGGGAAACCCAGCGAGGCAGGGATAGGGGGAGGGTCAGGTGGGAAGATGGGAAGGTGGAAGGGGACGTGCACACACACGCGCGCGCGCGCATGCAAAATGGCCCACGCACACGCGCACGCACACACACACACACACACACACACACGCACATGCAAAATGTTGAACGCACTGTGACTGCATCCGAGTGAGAGAAGGCCATGGTGGCGAGATATGGACCAGAAGAACACGTGCGAGCTGTGCAGGAAGTTTGTGTTTGGGTTCACGGCGCCCTGTGGCTGTAGCACACCTGAAAGAACGAAATTCAATGGGGCAGTTGGAGACGTGGGTGAGCGTGTGTGCGCGGCCGTGTTGCCTGGGAGAGGATTGGTGAACGGGGAAATGTGCTGCCTCGATGTTGTGCTACAGCAGAAGAAAACAGACTGTGTGAACGCACACGGCCCCGCCTCACAGCGCACATCACACACGGCAACAAACACACATGCATACGTACATGCATACACATGCACATACGACACATGCACAGACGACACATACACACGCGCGCGCTGACCAAGATTGATGAGTTTGAGGACAAATGTTTCAGAGATGCCAAGCTTCTTTGCCAGGGAAATCAGCTTTGTCACCGTGAAGGTTCTGGTGTGAGAGCGAGGGTGTGGGAACGTTCACGTCGTCAGGAGGAGTTTGGAACATGGACAGAGTGAGGGAGAGGGGAGAGGAGAGAGTGAAGGGAAGGGGACAGGGACATGCACAAAGTGAGCGAAGAAGAAGGAAGAAATGACTGTGATGACATGCAAACACCACACACACACACACACACACGCACGCACACACACGCACACACACACACACGCACACACGCACACACACGCACACACACACGCACACACGCACACAGACGCAGACCTGAGGCTGTGCTCTGCTGTGAGCTGTCGCAGCTGACACGCCCTGTTCAAGTCCTGCAAGGTGAAGAGCTCCATGGTTGTTGATGGCCTGCTACCATTGCAAGACGGCGCGAGTCACAACGTCCTGGTTTGGTGGTGGCTGGGTCGGCTGTATTGGCTGGGTGTTTGTTTGTGTTGGAGTATGAATGCAAAGTGGCGGTTTTCCTGCCTGCCTTGCTTGCCTGCTTGCTTGCCTGCCTGCCTACCTGCCTGCCTGTTTGCTTGTGTCCTCCCTCCTCACATACGATAGTTGTGGCAACCACCACAAGCAGCAAGGGCGCACGGTGGCACAACAAGCCACCCAACCCACAGCACCACAACGCCACCGCTACACGCATTCAAATGCTTCGCGGCACAAACGGACAAAAAGGAGGAAGAATAAAAAAATTGTTGGTGCTTTTTGTGGGTGGTGGCGCGCTGCTGGCTCATCGTCATGAGCAATCATCACTGCTGCCTGTCCTCCAACACACCCACCCACAGACAGCAGCATGCAACGGTACTGGCAAGCCAAGACCCTGCTCAGCCAGCAGCAGCGGCAACAGCAACAACAACAACAGCAACAACAACAGCACCAGCAAGAGGAAGGCGGCGACGATGCGCGCGGGGAGGCACCGCCAAAGGATGAGGATGTGTTTGTGAGCGCTGAGGTGGCAGCCATGTCACTGGAAACCAGCTCGCCCACAACATCAACAACAACACCACCAACAACAACAACACCACCAACAACAACGACGAAACACACCAGTGATGATGGTGATGATGACCGCGAGCCCGCGTCGAGTGCAAAAGCGGCCGTCAACGAGAAGCCAGGCAAGTCACTGGCCCCGCCTCCGCCGGCGCCCACGAGCACCCAGCGCGGTCGGGACCAAGATGCGTCGCAGGACGATGCTGCGCCTCGGCATGTGCGGATGAACAGCATTGTCATGAAGGTGACGGCCATTAAGCGGTTCCAGAAGCTGCGCGCTGCGCTGCAGCAGCAAGTGGAAGACCAGGCCAACGCCGCAGATACAGAGGACACAACTGCGCAAGAGGAGTTTCAGCGCAGGGCTCGCCAGAGCCTGCACGACTTGGAGCAGCTGCTCAAGGCGTTCACCACAGTTGTTGGCCCGGATGCCGGCTCCCGCCTGAGGCTGCCCAGCGATGGCAACGAGTCCGACTCGAGCGTCACTGCTTCCGAAGATGGCACCCCGCTGACCAGTGGCGCTCCAGACTCGTCTGGCTCACTTCTTCGTATCCACTCAAATGTGCAGGAGAAGCAGTCGGACCTTGAACAGGCCCAGCTTGTCTGGGATCACGAGCCCAAGAACATCCTCATCATCAAAAAGCCGGTGTGTGCGTAACTGTTTGTGTGCGTGTGTGCGTAGCTGTTTGTGTGCGTGTGTGTGTGTGTGTGTGCGTGTGCAACTCTGTGTGCAACTCTGTGTGCAACTCTGTATGTGTGTGTGTATATGAAAGCAGATGTACACACAGCGCACGCACGTACACTGTGCTCGCAATCACTCGCCTCCCCCCCCCCCATGTATACACTCACGAACACGTACACGCTCACATACACACGCACGTACACATATCACGCGTCGCCTTTTTGCTCTGCCCCTGACAGGGTGATCGCTTTGTCACAGAGTGGTTTATGAAAGTAGCGCGCTTCCTGATAAAGGACCACCCGGATGTGAAGGTGTTCTTCCAGCCGCAGATGTTCAAGGATGAGCTGGACATTCTTCGCGAGGACCTCAACTACGCCAGTCTCTTCAAGCAGCTGCACACATGGAGCCTTGCCGACGCTGACAAGGGCGTGGACCGCATGAACTTTGACCTCGTCATCACGCTCGGCGGCGACGGGACGCTGCTGCACGTCACCCACACCTTCCAGAAGCGCGTGCCGCCCGTGCTGTGCTTTGCGCTCGGCTCCCTGGGCTTCCTCACGCAGTTTGACGTCGAGGACTATCGCGACACCATCCCCAAGGTGCTGCGCGGCGGGCTGCAGGTCACGCTTCGGCTCCGCCTTCACTGCAACGTCATTGAACCGCCGCTGCCGCCGTCCGAACGAAAGCGTTTCGAGCGCTCCTCGTCTGACGCCAACTTTGTCGAGGCCAACCCCATCCCGGAGTACGAGATCCTGAACGAGGTTGTGATTGACCGTGGCCCGTCACCCTACCTCACCAACTTGGATGTCTACGTTGGCGGCTCGCTCGTCACTTGCGTTCAGGGCGATGGTCTCATTATCGCCACTCCAACAGGCAGCACCGCATACTCGGTTGGTGTCTGCGTGTGGGTATCTGTGGGTGTGCATACGTGATTTGTGTGCGTGTGTTTGTGTGCGCGCGCATGCCTGTGTGTGTGTGTGTGTGTGTGTGTGTGTGTGTGTCTGTGTCTGTCTGTCTGTCTGTCTGTCTGTCTGTCTGTCTGTCTGAAAGGACATGTATGTGGGGGGTGCAACTGCTTGTTGTGATCACCATTTCTCACGCTTGCAGTACCATCTGACTTGTCTGTGATGGCAGCTTGCTGCTGGTGGCAGCATGGTGCACCCGTCGGTGCCGTGTGTTCTCCTCACACCCGTCTGCCCGC